GGGGGGGCGTGTTTCTGGTGGGTGCCAGGCGGGGAAACGCATCCCTCCCCACCCCAGGCGAGACCTCTTGAGAAATGAGGGGGAGGAGGGTTCTTGGCCGTGCCCAGCAGCCGAGTAGGAATAGGGAGGGAGGGGCGAGGCCTCGGGGGTGCATCCTGGACCCTCTGCTGCCTGCCGGAGGGGGGTTCCTAGCCGGCACCCACAAAGCTGGAGGCCTCCAGCAGCCTCAGAGGCAGCCACCAAGTACCTGTGCCCGGGGGAGGGGGGGGGACTTGCCTTTTCCTGGCTCCCCCACCCACCCGGGCTGAGCTGGCGTGCTGGCTGGGCCTTTCCTGCTGCTGGGGAAAGCGCGGTAGCTCCCTTCCCACCCCGTTGCCTGTGTGCACCTGCCAGCTTGGGGCCTGATTTTATCCGCCCTGCCGGAGCCTGTGCGCACGCCCATAACGGTAACCACAGCAAAGGCTCTGGGCCCAGTGCCCCCTCCTGGCGCTCCCTGCCGGCAGCCCCGGGCCCAGTTCTCGGGATCGGCCCTGGTTCCGGCTGACGGGCTCCCCGCTGTCTCCCCAGCTGCAGTCCGAGGACTTTGCCAGCCTGAAGCAGCTGGTGCCCCTGCTGGAGGAGCTCTCCCGCCTCCACCCGGAGCCCGGCATCCAGGAGCTGGCGGCCGACTTGAGCATCTCCATCTGCACCCACCGCGCCTTTTCCAGCGAGGCCCTCTGCACCGCTGCTGGCAGGGCCCTGGGCAGGAGGGAGGGTGGGCCAGCCGGCCAAGGGAGGGCAGCTGCCAGCACAGGTGCCCCGGAAGGGACCCCCAGAGCCGGGCCAGCCCTGCCCCAGGAGCCGCCCAGGAGCCACCCAGGGGAGCCTCCGGGGATGGACAAGGACCCCCTGCAGGAGCTTCTCTCGGGGGCTTACAGCCCTGACATCCCCACGCGAGCTGCTGCCCTGCGCTGTCTCACCCGGATGGTCGAGCAGAGGGATCCCGCGGCCCTGAAGACCCAGGAGAGGTTGCTGAAGGTGGGCGGCCAGAGCCCTTGGTGGGGGATCCCCCTTTGGCCTGTCTGGGGGGCCCTTCCTGCAGAGAAGGTGGAGGGTGTCCCCTGAGCTCCGTCCGGTGAGCTCTGCTTGGTGGACAGAAGGTCCAGCCGGCGCCGGTGTTTTTGTCCAGCCATAGAGGTTTGAGGCAGATAGAATTAGGTTTTCAGCCACCAGATTTCTGTTTCCTGGTGTCTCCCCCTCTCCTCCCCCCTCCCCCCCACTTCCGGCCTGTTGCCACCCTGCTGAGCCCCCCAGCCTTGAGTGGAGGGGAAGAGTTAGGTTCTGCTTCCAAGCAGCCAGAATGTGGTGCCCCTGGGGGAGGGCAGCTGCCCTGGTTCCCAGGCCCGCCCAGGGCTGCTGGAGCTCAGCTGCAGAACCCCTTCCGGTTCCCCAGTTAGAAACTAGGGGGCTCCTCCTCCCTGAGCAGAGCCACAACGGTGCTTCCCTGGGGGGCGGGGGGGACGGACCGAAGGCCGCAGGCAACCTTACGCCCTGCCAAGGCGGCCTCCGCCACCAGAGGCCCAGTCGGCTGCAGCTGGGCAGGCAAAGAGATTCTTGGTTTTAATTGTCAGGTTTTTGTGGAAAACTTGGAACACGAAGACTCCTTTGTTTACCTTTCTGCTATCCAAGGTAAGCAGACCCAACCTCGCTCCTTCCTGTCTGGACTCCTCTGGGTGCATGGGGAGGGGGCGGGGGGGAGCAGATACTCCAGGAAGGAGCCCAGGCCAGAGGCAGGAAGCCCTGGGGGCAGGTGTGCAAGTGGGCTTGGGGAATGGGAGAAAACGCGGAGCGGAGCCCCCGTCCCCCATCTCCGCTCCTCCTCCTCCTCCTCCTGCTCTCTGCTGCTCTCCAAAGAGACCTGTTCACACACACACACACACACACACCCCCGCTTGCTCACGCCGCAAGCGGGACTTCAGCAAACAGCCCTCCTGCTTCTCCGTTCCCCCCGGCCGGGGCAGGGGCCTTTCGGGGGGGGGGGGCCTAAGGACGGGCGAGGTCTGTGGAAGCCACTCCCCTGGCCGGGCTGCCATCTTTCAGCGGGGCGATTGAACCCGTTCCAGCCGGCCCCTTCCTTGCACCTGCCTTCCTGTCTCCAGGCAGTGTTGCCTTCCTGGAGAAGCCGCCAACTCCTCACGGAAGCCATATCTGCCCGGCTTCCTTGGGAGGAAATGAAGGCGTTTCACAAGATCACCGGGGGTGGGTGGCTGTGCAGGCGCCGCCCTTGCGGCCGGGCCCTTGTTGTCGACTCTGGGAGCGGACAGGCGCGCTCTTCCTCCTCCTCTGGATGGCGCTGTGGGTCAGTAGAGCGGGGGCTCTTTGGGAGGCTCTGGGCCTGGCCAGCCCTTGGCACACACCCCCTCGCCCCAACACACACAGGGTTCAGAAGAGGAACAGGCCCCGGAGGCCTTCTGGCCTCCTCCAGGCGCCTCTGGGCCGCCCTGCCTCCCTGCCAGCCGCTCTGCTTCCAGGCAGCCCGGAGAGTCTCTGGGCCTGGGAGGGAAGTCAGCCCGGTTGGGAAGAGGCTGACAGGGAGGCGACAGGCGGCTCAGCTCCACACGCTGCTGCTCCAAGGCTCAGCACTCTTGAGGATCTCTTGGGGTCCTGTTTCTGTCTGGGGGGGGGGGAGAAGGGCCTCCAGCCTCTGCCTGAAGCCCTAGCCCAGGCCAGGTGAGCCTCCCCCACATCCTTCCCTGCTGAGCTTCAGCCAGGTGAAGGGCTCCTGCCCGTGTGACTCTGCCAGCCTGGGGCGCAAGAGCGGCTCCTTCCGCGTTGAGCAACGTGGCGGCCTTGCAACAGCCGGTGAATATCCGTTGACTCAAGCGTGTTGGGAAGGGCCTCGGGCGATGGGCGGGGGGGGGGGGGGCGAAGGTGGGAGCAGGGCCTGGCCTGGTGGGCACCCAGAAGCAGCGGCTGAGGGGGATGTCAGTCCCGCTGGGGCCGCCCTGCCGCTTGCTTGCCCCCCCCACTCGTGTCGATCGTTCCATTGCCTCAAAGGCCGGGGAAGAGGCAGTGGGGGGGCTTCTGCTGGCCTGGGCTTATTCTCGGGGGGGGGGCCGGGAGCGGAGACCTCGGGCGTCTTCCCAGGCGCTCTCGCGGAGGGGGGGGGGGCTTCAGGGGAGGCGTGGAAAAGCTGCCCAGGCAACGGGGGCCCCCCTTCCGCCATGCCCCCTCACCTCAGCCTGGGCTCCTGCTTCTGCCCCCTTCCAGGTGTGTCCCAGCTGTCGGAGGCCTCCCCAGGAGTCGCCCTGCCCTTCCTGCTGGCCCAGTACGCGGGCGCCCCCACGGCGGAGAGCAGGATGAAGGTGGGGGAGGCGCTGATGCGCACGACGAGAGCCCTGGGTGAGCCGGCCTGCAGGGGCTGGGAGGGCGAGGGGCTCCTGGGGGCCTGGTAGCCAGTGCAGGGGGGGCTTTTGTCCTACGGTCTCTGGCCTCCAGTAGCACCCTCTGCATTTTGAGGGAAGGCTTGGGAGCGTTTGGAGGAGCTTTGGAGTGCCTGAGGGGAGGGGAGGTTTCTCCTCCTGCCAGAGCCAGCTGCCCCCCACCTTGGTCCTTGGCCTGGGGACGGTGCCTCAAGTGCCCAAGTGCGCCTCCCAACTCTCTGCCTGGGGATGGGGGGACGAGAGCTCTCGGCAGCCCCGTAAGGGAGACGGCCGCCTCCTTGGGTCCCAGGAGCGGATCTGGCATCCAGCTTTGCCAGAGAAACATTAGGCGCACTTGGCCAAAGCTCCACAGAAATCCAGAGCTGAGAGGGATCTGTGAGGCCATGGAGTCTGACCCTCCCGCCATGCTCAGCCTAAGCGTCTCCATTAGCGCCTCGTCCCGATCTCTGGTCTCGTGGGTGAGTCACTTCCTCTCTCAGCTTTGGGGCTTTTGATTTCCCGATAAGGGAGAGCCGGGAATTCCCTGCCTGCTTCCTGGGTGTTGCCTGTCGCCTTCGTGACCCCCGGCCGCCTTGCCCGCGTGGCTGCTTCCTCCGAGGCTGAGGCTGAGGGCCTGGCCTGGGCGCGAGCCCCCTCCCCCCC